TAAATTAGGCAAACTGATAATTTTGAAATAGCTTTCTTTGTGAATATTGTTAAAATTGACAAAATAACCATTGGACTTTTTCCTTACAATGATACTTTTTGTCTCATTCTGAGCTAGCATTCCGTTTTGTTATGATCTAATGGTTAGTAGCAGATCACATTTTATAGTTTTTCTGGTCAAATGAAATTTTTTAACATGTTGCGTTTTTGCTTGAAAAATAGGCAGAAACTTAATATAGCAACATTGACCGCCAACGTTAACAAGATCTACTAAGGCCAGACCAATTTAGTTCTTTGGATTTTCCCGCTCCTGTTTTTATACGACCGCAAAAATTAAAAATTTTTTGGTCGTATATTGGTATGACGTTGGCGTCGTCGTCGTCGTCGTCCGGCGTCGTCCGAAGACACATTGGTTTTCGCACTCTAACTTTAGTTTAAGTGAATGGATCTCCATGAAATTTTACCATAAGGTTCAATACCACGAAAGGAAGGTTGGGATTGATTTTGGGGGTTATGGTACCAACAGTTAAAGAATTAGGGGCCAAAAAGGGGCCAAAAATAAGCATTTTTGTAACTTCCAGACAATAACTTGTGTGTAAGTGTACGGATCTCTCTGACATTGTACCACAAGGTTCCATATCACAAAGGAAAGGCTGTAATTGATTTTGGGGGTAATTGCCTCAAAATTTTAGGAATTAGGGGCCAAAAAAGGGGCAAAAAACAAGCATTTTTCTAGTTTCATGACAATAACTTGTGTGTAAGTGTTTGTATATTTCTGAAATTGTACTACAAGGTTCCATATCACAAAGGGAAAGCTGGAATTGAGTTTAAGGGTAATTGCCCGAAACGTTTAGGAATTGGGGGCCAAAAAGGGGCCAAAAATAAGCATTTTTCTAGTTTCCAGACAATAACTTGTGTTCAAGTGTATGGATCTCTCTGAAATTGTACTGCAAGGTACCATACCACCAAGGTATGTGTAAATTATTATATAATAAGTATTGTGCAATAGCAAGAAATCTTCAATTGCACAGTATTGCGCAATAGCAAGAAATCTTCAATTGCACAGTATTGCGCAATAGCAAGAAATATCCAATAGCACAATATTGCGCAATAGCAAGAAATTGTCAATTGTACAGTATTGCGCAGTAGCAAGAAATATTCAATTGCACAGTATTGTGCAAAAGAAGATACTTCGTATAAATTGCTTATTTCTTGATCAATTTCAATGGGGTTTTATTCTTGAATTCTTGGGGTTCTTTAATATGCTGAATATAACCGTGTATTAAGTTTTTGGATTTTGGGCCCCGTTTTTAAATTGGTCCACATTGAGGTCAAAAGGGTCCAAAATTTAACTTTGTTTGATTTCATCAAAAATTGAATTCTTGGGGTTCTTCGATATGCTGAATCTAACCATGTATTTAGATTTTGGATATTGGACCATAATAGGTGAATGTCCAATTTAAAATTTTTAAGTTCTTAGACCACATTCATTCTGTGTCAGAAACCTATGCTGTGTCAAATATTTAATCACTATCCAAATTCAGAGCTGTATCAAGCTTGAATGTTGTGTCCATACTTGCTCCAACTGTTCAGGGTTCGACCTCTGCGGTCGTATCAAGCTGCGCCCTGCGGAGCATTTTATTGAGAAATTGACTTTCAATATAAAAAAAAACGCTTCCGCAAATTTTGGTCTGCATGCCGCTCCAAAATTAGTTTCTCCTCGTAATTTTTTATCTCACATAGACACTTTTCTGTTCAATATAATGCTTCTATCGTTTATATGCAAATAAAATTTATGGTTTCGGGTAATCATGAGAGCAGACCCCAATTTTGACTTCTAATTGGTCCCATACTGTATGTGAATGAAATCCCCAACCTGTGTATGCAACTACTTACTAATGTAGTACAATAGCCTAGAATTTACATTCATTTGTTTTTTCAGTCCACATGATGCAATTTTATATTTCATTACTTAACTATAACAAAATTTCTGCGTGGGACACATGTTCTTGTACACCAAAACTGGTACCTGCCACCTCAGCTTATTGCCGTGGACATGTAGTCATTGAACACACAGTTATCCCGAATACTTCTCGTTTTACTTTTAAAGACGTACTGTTCTAGGATGCAAAAATTAAAGTTAGATGACCACAAACACATTAATATTTGTTAGAACCATTGTCACTTTTGATTTGGATCTACATGTATAGCAATAGAACTATCTTACTCAGGATGTTGTTTTAGTACAAAGCAAGAAATAATCACCTCACTCATTATTTTGATTCTAAATATGCATAAATAGTTCCAACTGGATGTCAAGCAGCCAATAAATAAAGGCAACAGTAGTATATCGCTGTTCAATAGTCATAATTAGATAAAGCAAAAACAAATCCGGGTAACAAACTAAAATCAAGGGAAACACATCAACTATAAGAGGAAAACAACGGAACAACAGAAACACTGAACTACAACAATAAACGATCATTACCATATAAAGAAAACTATCAAATATATTTCAGGAGCATTTTTTTTGATACATACACATATTTTAATTTTATTCAACATGTGTCATTTACCTAACTAACATATTTCCTCTTGTAAAACTGTATCTGCTATGCCTTCTAAATGTATATATGGATTTAAATGAAACTTACTTGAATAAAATAACCAAAATTAACTAAACCACAGTGAGACAAGAAAGTCTGATATGGTACAGGCACCAATAAATCAAATATGCCTTAGAGCATCTGTTGCTCCTCATTATTCTATGAAATAACCCAGTTGTAACATGTTCATAAATTGTACAACTTCTAAATCACACAATTTTAAAAGGAATTTATACCGCTTGCTTCACTTATAGAGCGAAAAAAAACTCATTTTCAAGAAATATATTCAATCACTCGCCCCATATTTTTTGGAGCTTTTGTCCGAAGAACTATTAATCAAATTGGTGTGGCCTAAAATGATAATTTGACTAAAAACCATCTATTGACTCCTTGTAGGAGTTATTGCCCTTTAAAAAGAAGAAAATTATGTGAAATTTTTATGATAACTAAACTGTTTTTTACAGATAAAATATTTCATTTATAAGGAGAGATAAACAGTTTCATTTTATAGCAACAAATAAAAATACAAATAAGGCAGACAGCATCCAACAACAACCACTGAATAAGGCTCCTGACTTGGGACAGACACATGGAGAATGTGGCGGGTTGACCATGTTTGTTAGCGCTTAACCCTCTCCTAACCTGGATCTCTATTCAAGTGTTTCAAAATTCTGTCATTTAGTTTTCTTCCTATAATGCTTTACCCTTGTACAATCATTACTATCTGTTGTTTGAAAACAAGATCAGTGATCTATAGCTTTTATTTAATTTTTTGAAAACAACTTTTTTACAAAAGATGAAAAGTTCTGTATATTTATGAAAAGGCAAAACAAATTACCCATATTTACATGTACTGCATATATAGATGACACAAACATTTGTAAATTCCAGTTTTACCATGCTATAATATAGAATTAACCTTCAGCAGAGTTTTGTTTTGCTATATACTCAAATTTCCCAGTCATTGCCTATTATTTTGCAATATATCCCTGTTCAGCCCATACAGCACTATGTAAGAAGTATTTTCTCACCAAGCTGTCATAAGTGTAGGGTTTTTCAACATTTCTAGTACTAGTACTAGTATGACAGCATTGCATTTGCATTACAGAAAATACAAGTTTTTTTCACTTGAAGAAAGTTGAGCAAATCCTTTTCGACTTCACATTTTTTTAACCAGTACTTACCAGTTATGTTACTGTTTCTTAGTACCCAGATATTCCCTTGTTTGTTATAATAATTTTTATCAAATTTTATCTTATCATCTTATCATTAACAATTTGATATTTCCATTTTTGGACTGTATATCATTTCTGATAATGCTGAGTGCAAGCATATGCTGAGCCATTCATTTTGACCTATCTTTAAAGTTTTAAATATATTTTGTTGTCAAATTATTTCATGTGAAAAAGGGGGGGGGGGCAGGACAGAAAATGCATACATTTTTTTACATTCAATAGGTATAAGTGATATTAAACTTTTATGAACCACCTTACTACCTCAAAGTCAATAATTATAATCTCATCTGACATTCTTACATGTAAGAATTAGTGGTTATTGTTGATAATAGCAGCTTCAGTTTAATTTTGTCATGCATTCAGCATTGTTTACATATTTGGAAAGTACTCTTTTGAAAACAAAGTTGTTATATTATCAAAACCCAGATGAGCTATACCTTGTTCAATGGCAGTATTTGTATTTTTGAGAGGTAACATGTGTATACCAAGAATTTTTTACAAAAATGGGTATATTATTCTTAAATGTGAGGAATTAAAAAAAAATCAATATATATTGAAAGTTGCATATATGCAGACTTCTATCAATCAACCATAACTAATAAATTGATAATATTGTATGATACTGTAAAGTTTAGGTTACACAGATCAAATAATTGAAATTGAAAGAAAAAAAAAAAGAACAGAGAAAATAAAAATAAGCATTTTAATTCCCTCTTTTATCAAGCTATTATCAGCTAATAACACAAATTATATAGTAAAATCATTAAATTTTCCAGCTCTGTTTACTAATAATACCATATTGATAAGGGTTTACCTTTCTAGAATCCTTTGTTGTCATAAAATCAATTCAATGTTCTGCTCTGGTTTGCGGTCATTCTCTGTAACAAACAATCATTCTAGGAAAACAGCTTCACAGTCAGCATCCAAGCAAATATTTGGAATTTTATAAATATTTGGATAATTATAGTGAATTTGAGCATGTGAAGTAACTAAACCAGTTGTGTGATTAAAGTACTAACACCAGAAAATAACTTCTATCAACATTGTTAAATTAACTGTGAAATTAAGTGAAATAAGATCTTAGGTATAGAAAGGATGTAGTACTCACATTCTTGTTGATGACCTAGATTAGCACAGGTGTATTAACTATATTCATATCTATATTATACTAGTAGGTGTGTTCTAAGTCTTACATACACAAGTTGTATATAACATAGAGCCTAAGGGGTGTCAGATTCATAGACCTGTCACAGGAAAATCAGAATTCATTCGTGTGTGAAATTTCTACAAAGATAGTAGAGTATTAACTGTAAAGTGTAATGTACTGCCGTGGTTTAAACTGTTGAGGAAAAGGAATTTATTTTTCATTCATTCAAAAGGATACTTCACTAAACAGCTGAGATTTCTTTTACGTTTTTTTATGTAAAGAAAATGGATTAGTTTTGTTACCAAAAAATATGAGGTTTAGAAGAAAAAAGAAATCTAAATCAAAAGAGAAAAAAGCTGAGGACAAAGGTATTCTCGTTTTATTTTTAGATTGGTCATTTAAGTATAATTGTTCATATCAATTGTTGTATATATTTCATTGTTGTAGTAGATTATTAATGCTGGTACTTTTTATTCTGAATAGAACAGCGAATTGTTATTAATTGTGGCATGTCAATGTTGAAATACTATAAATAATGACCACAATGTAAGGATGGACTTAATAGTTTTGGTTTCAGTTTATTGATACTATTAAATTGTTTGTCCATGGTATATGAGCAAACAAACTTGATCTAAAAATATCCATTTGTCCAGTGTATTGTACTGGTAAATGTAATATCCATTTAATATTGTGGGTTAAAATTACAACAGTTAGATTGTTTACTTATATATATAAGCTTAGGGCAAGGACAGAGAAAGGTTTGAGAAGTACTGAAAATATTAAATATAAAGATACAGAATTAGTAAAGATTTTTTGTAATAAATGAAACCTGTCTTTTATATATGATATTTTATAAGTGTTAAAAAAGAAAAATGGAAGAATACATTCTCAGTTCTTTGAAAATCATGCTATTTTGGATTGGGAAGAGTAAGGACCATATATTATATTGTATATAAGGAATATATTGTTACTAACCTTGGTACTTTTCTCTATCTGTATCACAATTTACTCAGTAAATATTTTTTTTCAATATATATAAAAATCGTCATAACAATGGCCGATCCCATAAACTGAAAATGTTTGTGCAATGAAAGAGATTTTATGGAATTCCTTCAAAATATATATTTTTCTAAGTAATGAAAATGGATTATTTCAATTAACTGATTAAACAGTATTTTTATTTTGTGTGTGTGGTTGTTTAGGGGTTAAATAATTTTGTCAGTCTGGTTACATAAATAAGTCTAATACATAATTTATAGTTGTTTATACAGTTACAGTTTGACAGCAGACAAGGATTGTAGTCAAATCCTGGACATAAAAAAAAGATTTATTCTCAAAGCAACACATTGTCATAATATTTATTATATAGTAAAAATAATGGGGAGAATCTGACATAGTATTTTAAAAATGTATTATTGTTTATGTGGGAGACATTTGAGAAAAGTTAGTTTATTATTGTCATTTATTCATGTCATGAAATGTGACAAAATGAGTTATTGTCCTTTGATTCAAAGAACATATTAATTATGATGTGTGTACATGTACTGTACATTATAATGTGCCATTCTGCAAGGTACAAATGAAAATTACAAATACCTTGATTCTGTACAAACTTTTCAAAACTTTTCCACAAGTCTTCAATTTGCATGAAATTTTTACCATTGAAACACAATTTTCACCTTTAATATTATGGAATAATTATATACAATACTGAGTTTGATTGTCTTAGTTAAAATGCAAGACTAAAAATTCTTGATTTCATAAAGAAGTCTTTTGTACATGTATGTACATTTTAATTTGTCATATATCATATATCAGAAACACTTTGAACCAATATTTGTAAATAACAACCTATGCTTGTATTAAGTCAGGCTATAATCTGAGCCATGTTTGTTTGTATGTCTATTTTTTAGGAGGAGTTTGGTGTTAATGCTTGGTGTGGTCTATTTTTATTAATCCTGTTATCCTTTTATGTATCATTGCATAATTATTTAGAAATTACTACATCCGAAAAGAATCCTTATTTTATTTGGATAATTCTTTTTCATGTAATGAATGATGAAAAATTACTAAAAGACAGAGTTCCTAAATTTTTTTTTACAAATGTTTGCACAATATACAGTATAATAAAATTTGACATTGTATTTTAACAAAATTTAGCCTTTGGGAATTTACTATGATCTGATCATGATCAGTTATGCAACCATGACTGAAACATTTATCCACTGTCATCAGTGGTATCATTTATTGATAACATTTTACTTTCACGGAGGGGGCCCCTGATTATCTCCTACTCTCTATTCCTTCCCCTTACTCACAGAAACTTTTTTTCTAGCATATTTCTATTTTTTACTCCCCCTCTTCTCCTGGTCCCCTTTCTTCCCTGGTTCCTGTCCATGAATTCCACTTCCCACCCCTCAATCCCAGCTTCCATTATCCTTGTCAAACCCCTCTTTTATGGTGGTAAACAGAACTTCTTAAAGAATCCATACGAATGTATATTACCTTTGGCAGCTTTAGAAAAGCCAATGCACTCCAGTATTGTTGGCCAGAAAAAATAAAACACAAATAAATAAATGATTATCATGAAAGTTTTCCCAATTTACTAATCCGCTCCAGCCTAATGCCTAAATCCTATTCTTAATCTATACATGATTTCTGATATATTAATTAATGATAGTACAGAAATATGATGAATATGTAGTGGCACATAATGATATTCTTCAGGAATTTTCAATTTTGGGTTTTGTTGATGTTCTCTATTTCAAAGTAAGAATTCCGATCTTAAGAGTTGACTTGGGTATTGAAAATATAGTCATCTTGAATTTCTTTCATTTGGCAGTTAAACCCTTGCTAAAGTGGGGCATCCTTTGGCTTTGCAGGATGTATAGATATGCAGCCACATCGGTTTGAACAGGGAATTTAAATCTGATGCCATGTGTAGGGTGCTACCATGCTCTCTGCACACTAAAGAACTATAATAACAACCCTATAAGGGGTTGTTAGGTGGCCTGTTGCATGGCAAAATTTCCAACATATCCAACATTTCCTAATTTTCAGCGTATTAATGTATTAATTGCTAATTTGTACCCATCCTTAATATGCATGAAATATTTGGCACTTGACATTAAATCAAACAATCAATCTAAACTTAAAGTCCATGTTATCCGTTCTGGGATTTAAATGGATATGAAATAGCTATACTTTCACTTTTATACTGAAATTTGAAGTTTTCTTAATTATCCTGAAGTATTTAGTTAAATTTAAAAACACAACCTCTTTATGTTTTTCATATTGTCATACATGTAGCTTCAATGAAATATCATGCTGTCAAAAGTTTTCTAATTTTTCTGGTTAAAAGGCTTTATTTATTGTAGACAATATTTGTGTAATGTTACAGTCTCAGTGAAATTAGTTGGACTGACTCCAAAGAAAATTGACACTTTATATGCATAATTGAATACATCACTAAAATAAATAGGCAAGAATACAAAAGGGAAATTTAACTACTTTTTATAATATTTTTTGTTGAAATCAAATCAGTTATTATACTCTTTAAATGAAATTTTTTAGGGTGGTTAAGAAATTTTAATCACCAGTGCTGTAAAGTAAAACAATACAAGATCCTTGTGGTATGATTGCCAATGATACAGCTATCCACCAAGAGTCCAAAAAATTTGGATGTAAGCAACTATAGGTCATCATACTGCCTTCAACAATAAAAAAAGCACATATGATATAGTCAGCTATAAAAATGCTCCAACATGACAAAATGAAACAATTTAAACTGGCCCGGATTCTTAAATTCGATGTGTCTGCTCTGTCTTACTATTCATACAGATATTTTCTGACATCAGAAGAACCTTAACATTTTAACTTTGTACATGTAATATTATAGCTTAGAAGATCTGACTTTTCTCCTGTTTCTTTCGAATTTTATCTGATTTTTAGATATATTGTTTAAGCCATGTGTATGCATTTATCATCATCCGATTGGAATTTCCTGTTAGATTTTCGCAATTTCCACCCGTTGTCAATTTCTTTGTGTAAAGAAGTTTGGTTTTGAATGAAACTTTTTAATTAAATGATCACTTCTGTCCTAGTTAAGATCATATTTCTTAAAATTAATACATTACCTCATGTTTATAAAGATATTATTACAATCACAGAAGGTTCAAGGTTTTTTGGTAAAAATGATAATATGGTAAATATTGTTTGATTAAGTATGGTTAAAACAAACAAACAACATTGGACCAACAAGATATTTTTATTGATATTTTTATGCAATAAACTTAAAGTACAAAGTTCTTTATGTGAGAAAGGAGCAATTTTAACCTTGTCAGATTATTTTAAGAAGCCCCTCTGCCTACTGAAACCCAAAGTATGTAGGAGTATGTACTTCCCTGTATAGACTATTGACACAAATATTCTCGGGCTGTCACAACTTATTTCTCCCAACTTGGTGATGTGATTATAAATCAATTGGATTTTGATGATACTTCTGTTCATAAAAAACTATGCCTTTGACTCTCTGATATTTTTCACAAATATTGAAGCATGGAAATAGTGTATGGAAAGTAGTTCTTACTGTAGAGTGTATATAATAATAGATTATTCATATCATTATTGCTTTCAATGGCCAAAGGGTATACCAAGCTTATCCATGTCCTTATGTCCAAGGTGATTGGTCATCAACCCATTTCATACAGTGCCATGAAGTTGTCCCTTGCATTTCTCTATCAATTTACAGTTCTCTGATTATTTATTTCCAATCATATATTTTTATATGCTATAACCTTTTCAATAAGACAACATCTGCATGGTCAAAGTCACAAATTGACTTCTGTCTCAGAACCGTGTAAAGACAATAACATTTTACTGATTTCTTGGATGTGTTTTAAGATAAAAGGAAAGTGGTCAGTCCATATTATCTCGATCAGTAGCATATATAGTGAGCCATAGTAAACTTGAGTTTGTACCTCTTTAAGTTTTCATGTCTTCAATGTAATTTGTTGTGCGTGCCTGTGTGATTTTGCTTAAACATTTTTCAGTAGTTTGTTTGTGGAGAGAACATGTTAACATTGTCTAATGATAGAACATGTTCATCCTGTAGGATGACTGGTAGCTATGACATGTTGTGTTGGTGTCTACATATGTAGTAGACAGGATACAGTGTGAACATTACCTGTTATACACTCTGTAACAAAATACTGGGCAGGATTTCACAGCTTGAATTCATAACATTTTAAGATTCTTACAGTGGTAAGGTCACGAAGATTTAGTTACAATGTAACTCATTCAAGACTAACTATTTTCATCAGTTTTTAACTTAAAGGTTAAAGCTATTAATCTCATGGTTGAATAGAATAATTTGTGCATCCATCAGTTAATGTAACAGGGTACTTCCTTTTAATTGGTAATTACATGAACAATTACAAATTGAAAGGTCAAATGTCAAAGTTTGATAGGATCATCTGATCACTGTGGTATGCAACATTAGATTCTGAATTGTGTCATGTTTTGTCATGCCAGTGCCTTTGTATAGCTTTTTATTCAGTGTAGGTTTTGCTCATTATTGTAGGCTTTACTGTTATCTGTAGTTATTTACATCCTCGTCCTTTGGTCTCTGGTGAATAGTTGTAATATTGGCAATCATACCACATCTCCTTATTTTTGAAATAAACCAGGTCAGCTGAAAATGAAATTTCCAAAGACTTATCACTTTTCAATTATAGTATTCTATAATTTCATTCATACTTTATTAATACATTGGGATTGGATAAAGTCCCTATTATAAGTCTGTCATGTAATGGGACAGTGACTTAGTAGTATCAATCATACATTGTTCATTAGGTATACTTCTGTCATATATAACAGATATACCATTGCTTGGGAACTAAGGAGTAGATTAATCTTTAATTAAAGGTTACCAAATCACTCATTTCCTACAAGTAGTCAATGAATTTGTGCTTTTAAATTTGAAGTTACAATGTAGTTACTCTGAGTTTCGTGTATCTTTGTTTTTGACTATTAAACAAGAAAGTAAGACCGCTCCTGTCCATTAAATTTAGGGGTAGGCATACAAACCTGAAGAGGACAAGCCATTTAACCCTCTAAGATTATTAGAAAAACACATAAACTGTACTGAGAAGAAAAAAATCCTTAATCTGCTAAAATTTATCCTTTCTAAAACAAAGCTTAGGGTATGACTTGCATCTTGGTGATGATAAATTAAAATGACAGTTTAGACTATAACATTTCAGGGGTCTTGAATAAGTGTAAGGGAACAAAAGACATGAATAATTGTTTTATGTAAATTGTACAGGTATGTAAAATAGCATAACCTGATGGGACATATCATGATTAGTCAGATTTATAGATAAATGACAATTAAATCGGCACATGTATAAGGGTTAATTGACTGTAAAGTAAATTAACATTTAATATTCAATCTACCATTGACATATGTTCTATGAATATATATTATTATGGGTTTGGTCTGTAATTTTCTTTTCTGATTCATAAAGGTTTTATATGTCTGTGTATTTGTTTTATTGTCAGTGAACATTGTTTGTGTATTTTTTTTTTACATTTCTTTTGACTTTTCTGCTGATTTTAAATGTAAAATATATGCTTTACATTTTTTTTTAAATTCGTGATTGGCATCTTGACATCATTTAATAAGTGTAAAGTCTTGCTCGGAAATCTTAAGAGCCGGTCATGACAACTTAAGTTTTGATGCTTATTTTAAAATGTTTACATGAAAACTAGTTATATATAGGATATGTTAATGATAGATTCAGTGACCAGGACGTAGAAGATAAATCAAGGAAATGATTTAAATATTCTTATTAAAACTCTAATGAACGTTTGGCAAGGTCAGTTATTATCAAACTTTTCTTGTTACTTTGCATTTGTCAACCATTTGTTTTCAGTAGCAAGTTTGTGGTGCCACATAATTTTAAAAAATTGTAGTAGCTACAATACGTTAATGTGTACCATAGTATCTAATTTTATACTTTGTTGATTTTTTTTAATTTTTTGTCATGTGCAGAATGCATGTATGAAAAATTCATTATAAGGAAATTGACATTTTTGGCTAGCAAATGATAATGTTGCCTTCAATATCTCATTATATGATTGTAAAGTATATAAACATGGCTCAAGGAGTATTGCATATGTATAAGGGAAAAAAGCCATGAACAAATTTTAAGAAGGTAATAAAACGTTTTGCTCATCTTTTGTTTTTTGTTAAAAGATCAGTCAAACTGCAATTTTGGTAAAACATTTAAGCAATCGGTATTATGAAAGGGCAAATCATTTCGGATAAACATAGTAATAACTTGGAAATTTTGTCTGTACAAGGAGATTTATTTCAAGTTGTTTATTACATATACTTATCCTATGTTTGTTTAAGGTTAAAAGTTAGTACACAATATTGACCTGTGAGATTATTGTTATTTTTCTGATGTGAACTTTATGGTTTTATTACTGATTAGGCTTACTAATGGGTTTTAGTGCATTGTGTAATTCAGAAAAAATTACCCCAGTTTCTCATTAATGATAAAATGATTTGTGCAGGATGTGATGTTGATCTGATAAACAAGCTATATAATTTGGGTGGTAAATTTGTATTGATCAGCTGTATATCTGATCAGCTGTATATCACAGTACACCTTACCTCTAGGTGTTTGTTGTATTTCTATCTATTTCAGTGGAAAACATTCACAAAAGTCATACAAACCACAGATGCTTATTTTGTTCCATTTTAATTACTTGTCTTTATATCAGAAAGCAATGTAGATAACTTTGTTATGGAAAAATCATTTTTACCCTTATTGTTTTCAGGGATGTTGAGGTGTTATTTTATGGTCATTTTTGGTTACATTTTTCCTGAATATATATGAAATATATGATATATGGATGGGTATGCACATTTTTGTGAGCTTTATGAGTTTGCGTCAAGTTTTGTTCAATCCATGCCTATTAGTGAAAAAATACTGGTACTTCAGTTATTTTAAAGTATGCAGTCTACTGTTTGGTTTGGTTACGAGATCATAGTTAGATTTTGTCAACGTTTCAATGTCTTGGTGAATTAGAATTATTTGCTGTTATACAGTACACTCTGCCTAAGACAGAACTCACATGTATAACATTAAGTTAGTGCAGGTAGCCCCAAGTACATCACGTTTTTCTCCATTCAATTTGTCATCATTTAGTATTAAGACATATTTAGAATTCTGCAAGCTAACAAGAAACCAATGGCAGCCAATGTCTGTGTCAAGAATCTTGAAAAGTCCTTATCACAGAAATTTCAGTACTAACAACAAACAGAAGTACATAAAAATGTAGTACAAATTCTCAAAGCAGTAAAGGGGCCTCGGTGGCCAAGTGGTCTAAGTAGTTCAACTACTGTACTACTAGCCTGTCAACACTTAGTTTGTGAGTTTTAACTCTGCATGTGGCAGTTGTGTTTGACTCCGATCTAAATTGACTAGGATTTGCCAGTTTTCCTGCACAAGGTCGGTAGTTCTCTCCAGGGCACTTTGGCTTCCTCTGCCAAAAAAAAACTGCCTGCCACCAAATAACAAATATTGCTGAAACTGGCATTCCTCTACCGATAAAAACTGGCTGCCACCAAATAAACAATAGTGCTGAAACTGGTGTTAAACACCAAAAAATCTATCAAATCTGAATATGAAATATTAATCTAAAATTTTACCAATAATTTTCAAACAAAGATTTTTCATTCTTAGCATATGCATTTGGTTGCTTTGTTAATTATCTTCATGTTTGAGGGATATAAGTTCCAGATAGAGATCTTTTTATATTTATTAGATTATGTATTCAAAGGATAACTCATGGGTACAATTAACATTCAATGTTTACCTTTATGTAATGTGCTATATAATTTATATTTTACAGAAAAACAAAAAAATGGTGAAGTTAAAACAGCCTCCTTAGGTCCAAACACACCACAACCAGAAAAAAGAAGTAAATTTTCTAGCTTTGGTAAAATATTTAAACCATGGAAATGGAAGCGGAAGAAGAAGAGTGAAAAGATAGAAAAAACTGCTGTTGGTAAGATACATTTTACTGAGAGGGTGATCCCTTCATTACACCACAGTTATAGACTTTGGAGTTCTAAACCATTTTACTGAGAGGGTGATCCCTTCATTACACCACAGTTTTAGACTTTGGAGTTCTAAACCATTTTACTGAGAGGGTGATCCCTTCATTACACCATAGTTTTAGACTTTGGAGTTCTAAACCATTTTACTGAGAGGGTGATCGCTTCATTACACCACAGTTTTAGACTTTGGAGTTCTAAACCATTTTACTGAGAGGGTGATCCCTTCATTACACCATAGTTTTAGACTTTGGAGTTCTAAACCATTTTACTGAGAGGGTGATCCCTTCATTACACCATAGTTTTAGCTGGTTTTAGTAAAACCCCATTAAACACTTACAGTCCTCAGTTAATACTTTCTCCAAAAAGGACACCATCATGGCATAAGGATTTCACATCTAGACTTAAAAAGTTTACTGATTCTTATATGAGTTGGAAACAAAATCTAAAAGCATATATAAATCTCGGAAAACATTTGCTATAAAAAAAAGAAGACGTGTTATGATTGCCAATGAGACAACTCTCCACCAGAGAACAAATGACATAAAAGTTAACATCTATAGATCACTGTATGGCTTTCAACAATGAGCTATATTGCTGGAGTAGAGGCTTTTTAAAGTCCCAAATGAAGTATATGATTGGAAAGATTTTTAGAAGCACTTAGTGCAGGTTCCTAAAAGATCTGCAGTTCAAAATATGATATAAAATAAAATTGAGAATGGAAACAGGAATGTGTCAAAGAGACAACAACTCGACCAAAGAGCAGAAAACAGCTCAAGGCCACCAATGGGATTCAACACAGTGAGAAAATCCCGCAGCCCCGACATGGCTTTAGCTGGCCCCTAAACAAAAATGTATACCGGTTCAAAGAAAATGGGTGCACACTAAACTCCGAAACATATAAATGAACCAAAATTAAAAAACATACAAGACTAACAAAGGCCAGAGGTTCCTGACTTGGGACAGGCGCAAAAATGTGGCTGGGTTAAACATGTTTTGTGAGATCTCAACCCTCCCCTATACCTCCAGCCAGTGTAGAATAAACAAACACACAGCAATATGCACAGTAAAACTCAGTTTAAAAGATTTCAGAGTCCGATATTATAATAGGTAACAGAAGAAACTAAGCAAAATGACAAGGATCAACATAAATTAACAAAGGACTACTAGCATTTACTGACATGCCAGCTCCAGACATCAATTAAACTGATTGAAAGATTATGTCTTCATCATATGAAAATCAAGTACAATCACTCCCATTAGGGGTTAAGTATCATACCATCATAAAATAAACAAGAAGAACATAACCCGTATCATGCCAACAACTGATTTTAGAATAGATGTGTTTATTTCCGATGGAAAGACCCTATGAGTGAATCAATATAAATTCCGAAAAATGCCATCTTTATGCCTAAAACTTTCTATAAAGAAGGGTAAAAAAGGATCATAGATTATTAAAATTTGGCACCTTGCTCAGCTTTCAAAATGAACATGTAAATATATTTTTATTTTTGCATACCCCTAACTAGGGAATTTGCATACACTGTTTAATACCTACCTGATTTAAACCTCAGAATACCTTTCATGTCCTCCTTTCAAATTTTGTTTTAACAAACTCCAATAGTTATCTTTGGATCGAACTGAAAATCTAAGCTTACAATTTACAGTGACTCACTATGAACCACAAATCTCCTTAGGATTTGAAAGAGTTTTTATATAATTGCTTGCCACAATGCATTGATATACATAATCAATATTGGTGCTGATAGCTATTTGCATCTATCAATTTTATATGCAGAAATGTCAGGTGAGTGTTACAAACTCTTTGGAGCCTCTAGCTTCAAAGTAAACTAAAACTTGGATAATTTGAATAATCTTGTGCATTAAGCACTGTTTACTTGTGAGAGGAGGAAAGGGGCAGACATGTTTATGAGTCAAAGTCAAAACTAATTGACAGATTGTCATTTTAAATGAAACTGAACAGATTTTCATATATCAGAAAAGTCAGTTTCATGTATTTTATTCAATTTCAAATATGCTTGTCTTCTGTGTGCATTTTATTTGACCTGAATTTTTGAACATAACAGGAAATAAATTGATATTATATCATGTTACCAATTTTATAATAGATGTGGTAACAAGAGTGACTTTGAAATTGTTTTTTCTGTCAGTCAATATTACAATGAAATACAATAAATTCTCCCCTTACATTGTTAACATTGATTTGTAGACTTTTGTTTCATGTTGATTGATTCAGCAGAGATTTTTAACCTTAGTCACATCAATATTTTTATCAGGATGGAATTAGTGGGCCCTAGGACATCACTGCATGATGTAATTGATCTACATTGTCCATTTAGATGTCATTGTCTTTAGCTGAATGTGTATTACTTCTCTGTATTATATTCTGTATACTTAATCACTGTGTCACCGTAATAGTGGTAAGTGTGTCTAAAGGAAAAATATAAATTTATCACAATTTTTATTTCATTTCTTATAACTGTATCATAAATTGTTATGATAAAAATTTTGCTGACTAAGCATATACTTTTGGAAGGATACTTAAAAGGGCCCTCAGAATAAGTCATTACTTAATATGTCACTGTACGAAGTCCTCAGCATGTTCTTATCCTTATATTTGACACATGATCCATTATTATAACTCATTGACACTGTGTGCTTTAATTCAGTGTGAGGTCTTATATAGTGTAGAGGCAGGTATTTCTACATTAGGTCATATCTTTTATTGCATGAAGATATCTTAGTGTCCAATTAACCTGAGTAGATTTTTATTGCCATAAGCACTGGTTTACTTATGTGTACATCAATTCATTAAAAACATTTTTAATTTTTGATTTTGACTTATTTAGCATGTTTAGTCTTTGATAAAAATTAGGAAAGCAGAAATGTAAATTTCGAAAAGGATAGTAAATGTTTGTACAAGGTCATGGTTCATATATATGGTATAATATTGCAACAGATAGGATAGTATACTAAAGTCAACATTTACTATATTAAACTGACTATTTTATCAGTAAGTTATAAAAATTTTGTGTATATGCTGGTCAGATTTTCTTCAGCTGTCAGATGGTCTGATTTTTATATGCCTGTTTAAGGTAGGTATTATGGTATACCATTGTCCATCCGTCTGTCCATCCTTCGTCAACATGTTGGACAATCACTCAAAAAATGCTTCTAACAATTTTCATGAAACTTTGGTAAATTCTTTATATCTATTGACATAAGCTCCCTTTCCATTTTTATAAATAGATTTTACATTTATGAGTTATTGGATTGTTATTTATAAAAAAAAAAGGGGGGGGGTTTCAGTGTTCGAACAATAACTCAAAAACGCTTTAACCAATTTTCATGAATCTTTGGCGATTTTTATAAATTTTAGATTTTACGTTTCCTAGCTATTGGATTTTATTAATAAAAAAAGGGGGGTTTTTCGGACAATAACTCAAAAATGTTGTAAGCAGTTTTCAGGAAAACTTGGGTGACTGGTTTATATCTATTAAAATAAGCTCCCTTTAGTTTTTTTAAAAATTTCTGACATTGAGGAGTTATGGAACTTTATTCGTTGAAAAATCGACATGCTTATCATTTACTCATGGCGCAGCTCTTTATTGAATAAAGGAAGATGTAGGGCAATTGTAAATGAGAAAGCAACCCAGTGACAGAAATAACCAAAAGACATACAGTATTAACAGGTGTCTATATGTCAAGCTCTAAATCATCCTGGTCTACAGTATTCAACAATTGACAGGTGTCTATATGTCTAAATCATCCTGGTCTACAGTATTCAACAGGTGTCTATATGTCAAGTGGTCTACCAAAGTTGTGAATTTAACAGAAACAAACTAAGATCAGCCATTTACACCCAATTCTCTTAATAACAAACAATATTTAGATATGACATACAACAACTACTTACATGTAACCTGTGCTTACATTTTATGGCTGTATCATTGTTACTTTTTCTGGTATTTTGTGACTTTCAAATCATCTGTTGCCAGTTTTTGTATTCATTTATCATTTTTATAAGCGACAGAGAGCCTACTTAAAAATATTAAGATGCTTCCATTTAAAAAGCTTCATAATAAGAAGGTGGCAAGTATTTACAAAACATTACATGTTTTTAACATACTGTAGTATGATAGACTTCAAGTAGATCACTGTGGGTTGTTTTACTGTAAATATTGATACAGATCATTGAAGCAGGATGAAAAACTCTTTATTTTATACCAGTAATTATTTTACCATTTAGTATATCTGAACAACCTTTAACTCACTTAATGGTGTATTACAACTGAGAATAAAGGGAAGCTTTCACAAAGATAATCTCTCTTTTTAATATGCATTTTTTTAAGTTAAACATTCTTTCTGTATGATTTTGAAAGGTGAATACAACAAGATTCTATGTTTGGCCATACCATGGTATCAGTTGTCTTCTTTTAAATAGAGAGATGTCTATTTAATGCTTGTCTTTCTTTATTTTCTCCAGCCTCACAATTGTGTCTGCACTATGATTTTATGTGGTTTTATTGGAACCAAGTCAACCTTCTGAGAATGGTTGCTCTGAACCCAAGGTAGTTTAACAACCTTGCCTTCAGTAATTATTTGATTGTCTGTGTGTACTGAGATGATTTTGTTGTCATTTCTGTGTATGTCTGATGGTCAGACCCACATTATTCTATGTGACTGTCATACAAGTGAGAGGTTTAGCTAGCTATAAAACCAGGTTTAGACCACTATTTCCTACATAAGAAAATGCCTGTACCAAGTCAGGAATATGACAGTTGTTTTCCGTTCATTTGATTGGTTTGAGCTTTTGATTTTGCCATTTGATAAGAGACTTTTCGATTAGAATTTTCCTTGGAGTTCGGTATTTTTGTTATTTTACTTTTTATAGTCATTTAAGTGTAGGCAGGGAGTTTTAATTCCATACAGTTATCACAAGTATTACAAAAAATATTGCAAACAGTACAAATATCAGGGAGGTTAAATTAAATAACAAGTAAGTAAAGATTTGCTTTAATGAAGCAGATTAGCAAAAATTTGTATACCCACCAGAAGATAATATGGTACTTTATAAGCTGTAGCTTATCAATTTTTATACTTACCCACAAGAAGATAATATGGTACTTTATAAGCTGTAGCTTATCAATTTTTATACTTACCCACCAGAAGATAATATGGTACTTTATAAGCTGTAGCTTTTCAGATTTTATACGTACTCACCAGAAGATAATATGGTACTTTATAAGCTGTAGCTTTTTAGTTTTTATACGTACCCACAAGAAGAGAATATGGTACTTTATAAGCTGTAGCTTTTCAATTTTTATACTTACCCACCAGAAGATAATATGGTACTTTATAAGCTGTAGCTTTTCAGATTTTATACGTACTCACCAGAAGATAATATGGTACTTTATAAGCTGTAGCTTTTTAGTTTTTATACGTACCCACAAGAAGAGAATATGGTACTTTATAAGCTGTAGCTTTTCAGTTTTTATACGTACCCACAAGAAGAGAATATGGTATTTTATAAGCTGTAGCTTTTCAGTGTTTTTAAACCCACCAGAAGAGAATTTTTATACCTTCATAAAGAAAATATGGTACTTTATAAGCTATACCTATTTAGTATTTATACCCACTCAAAGGGAATTTGGTACTTTAGAAGCTATGACTTTTAGTTTGTATACCTATGATCTGAAAAGTATACAGTTCTTTATTAGTGACAGTCCATTTACTAAGTCTATATGAAAGGCTATCTTTTGTTATTGGACATGGTGTGCAAAGTCTATAAGTATGAGGCTATCATTTTTATCCACACCTGAAACTAATGGTAAGTCAATGATATTTGGTGTGCAGTTGTATTAACATAAGCACATCTCATTTCCATGGGAATTATATGCCCCCCGCCCCCTCAGTCATGGTTCATTGGCTTTGATACTTTTCAATAGCTTACATTAGGTTTTGTGTTCAGGTCAGTTTAAGGGAATAAAGAATATATAACTTTATTGAAAGCTTTATTAAGTTTTTATATACTCACCAGATGAGAATATGATGTAAACCTAATGAGTTTTTATACCAATTAGAAAATGTTTTTATAAGTTTTTGTTTTTCTCTTTTTAGAACTTGAAAGAAAGATTTCAGTTCGATCAACCAGAGAAGAATTAATCAAGAAGGGTGTATTGAAAGAACCATTGGACATAAAACCATCAACACAAGAAGGGCCGTCAATTGAGCAGACGTCTGCTGAAATCAATAATGACCAAAACAAAACCTCTACTGTTGTAGTAGAACAAAACCATGTGGACCAAAATAGTAAGTTTCTTCCATTTTTCCCACAGTGACTGGTGACTACTAACTGTTTTGTAATGCATTGTCCTCAAATGACTTAATTGTTTTGGGTATCCTCGTTTCATGATTAAGCTGGAGCCTGGATTATTACATGCAAATGATTAATGTGTGTAGTTGATCTAGTCCCAGTTTGACGAATTAAGCTAATTTATTCAATGGACATACATTGTTTCATTGTTGTATTTATATAGATTTGCATAAATCTGTGAAACAACATCGATTAAAGCTCATCTGTTTCAGTATGTAAAATGGGGGTCCTTAAAAGTCTGATGCTCTTCCATTTCAAAAATTGAGGGTCAAAATATCCAATTTGTTTAAATTTTGAATAAAATTCTTTGCTGAAATATTGATTTATGTGATATGTGTGACTGATGTTGATGACATTGTACAGAGGTAACTGACATCATCACTAAAAATTTCTAGCTAAAATAATATTTAAGACAACCCCTAAATTTTAATTATATTTAAATAACATCTTCTTAACTCTAAATCAAAATTCAAACTCATTTATATTTCTGCTACTGTTTCTCTATTCTTTATGCTTTTGTTTCCATATCTTAAGGGGATACATAAACTGGCTTAATATCATTCCTTTCCCATGGGCATCTAATATAAGAGTACCATGATGCTACAATCATTACCATGTTCCAATCAGAAATGGGGATTACCATGATATGATATAAAATCTTGGCTGAATACTATATACATGTATAAAATCTTATTCTGCATAATAAGGCATATCAGTCTGAGAACTCACAATTTTTATCAAAAACTTAAAAGAAAGTTAGGATATTATTTGGCAGTGTTATTTTAATCTTTTAAAGTTACAGTGACCTTAATTTTTAAGATATCTTCTATGAAGATCACTGGGAAAAGGAGCAAGCTATAATTAAAGAGGACACCTACACACCTAATGATTTGATCAGACATTCTGGTTGTCATAAAGATCATTCTATACTGTGGGAAGATGATAAACTTTGTAATATTTAAGAGACTTTCTGTGTCATAAAAATGTTTAATTGAAGAAAAACATTTCTATTGTACATTTTTACACCTGAGTTGCTTTCGGTTTTAGAATTTCCCCACCATGAAATTTCAACCTAAATTTTTGAAATATTTTGAATAGGAAAATGATAAATACATATATGTATTTATTATATAAACTTTTATTGTTTAAATTTATTTCCTTGTTTTGATTTTTGGAGATTTACAATATCTGTACCAGGTAACAGGTAACAGTTTGAATACCTGGCCACAGAAAACACAACTATAGACACATCAGTATTTGATTAATGGAAGTGTACAGATAACAACCCAAAATTACCCAAGCATATTATTTGGACAACAGAAATTGACATGGATTTCTCTCCTGTAATGAACATGTGTAATATTTTCATGGGTAACAGATAAGGAATATATAAAGATGTATATAACAATATAGCATCTTAGGTGTGATTTTTACAGTACAATGGGGTCAGGCTGTATTATGTGTTGTCTTTGCAAAGGTATGTTGATAAACTAATTACACACATGTGTAGGGTATGTTATTAGAGCTGAGAGGTGGTTCACTTTACAACATTTTCAGTACATTTACATAAAAATGACTCATTTTAGATTAGAAATTAACTTGATTAAAATAAATAATTCAATGTTATGTAGTTTAGGATTTTATCTCACTTCAAAGGAAGCATATTTTTTCTTGATTATAGAGTAGGTTACAATCAACACATCATTTGCTTCTTGAAAGAGGAGATGTTGGGCAAACATCAAAGAAACAGCAACCCAACAGCTCATGACACAGAGGTCTATAAAAAAAGACTAAACAAATAGATTTTAGCATTGGATAAGTGTCACCTCTATGTGGCAGCTTTAATTGCTTGGATTTTAGATAATTTTTATTAAGCTGAGACCACCAAACATCTTACCAGTACATCAGTTTAATATATTCCTAATTTGCTGTCTAAACACATTAGTAATGGCTTGTATGTTTTAGGCTGAACTATTTTTGGTTATCGTAATAAAAGTTATGTAAAAGTAAGCATTCATGATCATTAGTTACATGAAAAACAGAACCACTTTTTATCACAGATGCTACACCAGTGTGAATAGATAAAGAAATACCAAAAACAACAGGCTGAATTGGATCAGGCACATACAAATGCTATGGGGTTAAATTTGACTTCTCCTTTCATCTTAATCTGTAGAAGACAAGTAATCCACTGAAAGATATCATAAAAAAAAATGTATTTAAGGTGGTTAACTCAATAAAATAATATTGATACAGTAGAGAAAACAAAACACAGCTAGTTTAAGAGGAAGAACTGAAATCTTTCAAAGCGTTTAGGTCCAACAATATATTCTATGTATCCTTACATCTAAACAGGTTGCAAACACAAATAAAAAACATATATAAGTTCTCAGTAGACATAAACATTGGTATGGTACATAAACAGATAGTTTTTGCGCCTGTCCCAAGTCAGGAGCCTCTAGCCTTTGTTAGTCTTGTATTATTTTTAATTTTAGTTTCTTGTGTACAATTTGGAGTTTAGTATGGCGTTCATTATCACTGAACTAGTATATATATTTGTTTAGGGGCCAGCTGAAGGACGCTTCCGGGTGCGGGAATTTCTCGCTGCATTGAAGACCTGTTGGTGGCCTTCTGCTGTTGTCTGTTCTGTGGTCGGGTTGTTGTCTCTTTGACACATTCCCCATTTCCATTCTCAATTTTAGTTGTTATTTTTTTCAGTGTTATGAAACTCAATATTACATGGTTTTCTGGAGCATTCTTGTGTTTCTGTGACATAATTTCTCAAAATTATATTTTTTATTAAATACAGTCTTAAAAGGGATATGTATTATTATACACATTCTACATTAATTTCTCTTGGTTATTAGTAATGTGTATTGAAATAGTAGAAATCCAGTATGCGTAGGATTACAAGAGATTGCTTTCTGATATCAAGATCAAGTGTATCCCATGTATACTTCAGCATCTAAATGGATCGACTTGTAGGAGAAGCATCATTTTTATTACTTTGTTAGTAATTGGACCAGCTCTTCAGTGTAAAAATCTATTCATTATTGAAAGACCATATCAGGCAATATGTTTGCTTGTGTGCCTTAAGTTTGCTAGTTCAAACAAATTTAGAGCCTTGAGCATTCTTCAATTAACTTCAAAGATCATAAATACACTGAAATCTGTTTATTTTAGGATAGTTGCCACAGTATTATAGATATTTAATAACATTGAAAGATCTGTTGCTATCAAAAATTTTAAAATAATTGACCTTAATTTAGATGTCTTCAAGATTAATAAACTTTTAAGATAACTCACAGATTTATGAATATTATCAAGCTTACCAAAAATAACTATTCTGTTCAGGAACAATGTTACCCTTTTTTCAGATGAGGCCCACATCCAGATAGATTGGAATATTCATTGCAAGAACATGAAAAAATTGATAACAATAATTGATTGGTTTTGGGAATTTGTATGTTAACTTTGAAGTACGACCACTTACTATTCCAGTTTATAGTCTTGATCAGTTTCCTTTTTGCTTTCTAAGAGGTGTCAATATCAAATTGCTATAGGGAAAATTAAATGAGTTAATGGTACTGGCTACTGCAAGTAACCAAAAAACTTAGACAATGAAAAATTTACTCTCAGGAATGGAATATCCATGTCTTTGGTGTTTTACTAATTACGTAGTATTCTACTAATAAAGGTCCACTTTTATAATTAAAGGGAATGAATCTCTGACCTCCATTGATTTGAACCCCTGCTAAGAGATTGCATAATCCAACTCTTAGTTTACCATATTTTTGAAGTCAAAGTAAGAACCACCAAACTTTGTTTTTGCATATATCAGAAAAGTCAAGTTCTTTGTTTTTTGTTAGTTTCTTCAATTAACAGGATCATACAAGTGTCAAACTTGAATGTGAGGAATCAGATGATTTGTGTTGTTTCTTTTGACTACATGTAAACCATCTCAATGATCTTAAGATTCATTTATCAACACAGTGGAGTCTGTTTATTCTGAACTCACACATGGTCTTCTAAAATAGAAATATAGCAGTGACTCAGCATAACCCTTTATTCTGAACTCACACATGGTCTTCTAAAATAGAAATATAGCAGTGACTCAGCATAACCCTTGGCTTTTCAATCAATTAATATTTGTACAATATCAATTTATTGTTGTTTAAATTACTTTTATAATGGTTCAGCATGGTCGTCATTATAAAAATAGAGACGTGATATGTTTGCCAATGAGACAATTATCACCAGAGACCAAAGGATGAGGATGTAAACAACTGTAGGTCATGGTACAGCCTTCAACAATGAGTAAAACCAGAACTGTTTAGTAAGCTATGAAAGGCCAGCTCATGACAAAATGGGAAAAAATTCAAAAGGGAAAACCAACTGCCTGATTTATGCTTAAATAAATATGGCAGACAGCAACTAAGGATAACCACTGAATTACATGTTCCTGGCTTGGGACATGTACATGCACAATGCGGCTGGGTTAAACAATTTTGTCAGGGCTCAACCTTCCGTTTATCCTGATATTGATTTTCAGAGTGAACATAAGTTGTTTAGAATGGGGTAAATTCTTCACAACCTAATTTATGAATTTTGCCCAAAAATCGTCATGCATGTGACCCCTTCATTCCACAAAATTTCAAATTGAAAATGGTTCCATTGTTTTATCTGTGCATAAATTCCTTATGATAAATTTGTGTTGTATAGTTAACAAAAGTGCATTCTCTCGTCGTCCAGATACAGTTCTAATGCCAATTGATGATTGTAAAAATAGGCTTTCAGTTTCAAGATGCATTATGTATATCATCAATGATAACATTGCCCCTAGTGTAAGGGAGATAACACAGATACAAAAGCTGCATCACAGTGTAATCTATGGTCACAATAAATCTTTCAGTAGCATGTATACACAAATTTTGTT